GAGACAGAGAGGGAAGAATGAGACACAGGGGGAGACAGAGACAGAGGGGGAAGAATGAGACACGGGGAGAAAGAGGGGGAATAGAGAGATGGGGAGGGGAGAAAGAGACAGAGAGGGAAGAATGAGACACAGGGGGAATAGAGAGATGGGGAGGGGGGAGACAGAGAGGGAAGAATGAGACACGGGGAGAAAGAGGGGGAATAGAGGGAGGGGAAGAAAGAGACAGAGAGGGAAGAATGAGACACGGGGAGAAAGAGGAGGAATAGAGAGTTGGGGGAGAAAGAGAGGGAAGAATGCCCCCCCTCCCCTGTCCGCAGGCACCGTGCGGGCAAGGGAGGAAGAGAGGACCTGGGAGCTCACCCTGCAGCTCCTCTGGGTCCTTCTTGCGCGAGCACAGAGCGTTGCCGCAGTTACCATGGCAACGTTACTGCTCTTGCGAGAGTCAACTCTAGCCCTGGAGCTACGGGCTAGAGTTCACTCTCAACACTGTAACCCCCATGGATTCCTGGTGGTCGCAGTGGTGAGAGTGAACCCAGCCCCATAAACACACTGCCCCCACACACACACCATACACATTCACACACTGCCCCCATACACACCATACACATTTACACACATTGCCTCACACACACACATACACTGCCCACCCATATACACACAGACCCCCATACACAGCCCCCATACTAACATTGCCACACACATACACTGCCCACACACCCTACACATTCACACACCACACCCCCACACACACACTGAACCTTTCACACACATTGCACCACTGCTCCTATTCCCTACTACAGCCTCATATCCCAGCAGACCCCAGGTAAGTTGTCAAACCGTTCTTAAACGGTTTGACTACTTACTCTGGAGCAGTAGTGGTTATTGTGCATGGATTATTTCTTTAAATAATCTACAAGTGCCCCAGTAGCCAGCCAGCCAACCCACAGGCTGGCCAGTAGCCAGCCCACAGTCCAGTAGCCAGCCCACAGGCCTACAGCAAGCCACAGGCTCACAGCCAGCAAGCCACAGCCTGCCAGCCGCAGTCAGCAAGCCCACAGCCTGCCAGCCGCAGCCAGCAAGCCCACAGACTGCCAGCCAGCAACAGTAATTAAGGTAAGAGGAGCCAACTTGGCTTAGGTATCAGCGAGCTATGTTGTGTTGCTATATTGTGAATAGGAACCAGAGTGTTGGAGAGACCACCCTCCAGGCCCCATTAGACTCTAGCCTCTGCTAGAAATCCCCTCCATGGCCCATTAGCCCTCAATTGTAGTTTCTACTGGGGCCTGGAGGCGACTGTTTCCAGCAGGGGATATCTAATGGACGCTGAGATGGCCTCTGTTAGAAAGACCCCCTTCCAAGCCTTTTAGACTCCATTGTAGTCTCTAATGGGGCTTGGAGGGGATTCTATCTAACACACCCTCTAAAGGACACTGAGATAGCCTCCGCTAGAAAGACCCCCCTCCATGGCCCATTAGCCCTCAATTGTAGTCTCTACTGGGGCCTCGAAGGGCTTATTGCCCTTGTGTCTAAAGATTGTGTAGGGTGTGGCTGGAGGCGGTGCATGGAGGCGGGACAAGGGTGGCGCTTGCTGCAGAGTATGGGTGGGGCCTGTAAGGGGGCCCTTGATTTATTTTGCCCGGGGGCCCTGAGGGTTCTCAGTCCGCCCCTGAACATAGCTTAGATAAGACTTTTAAGTAAGTAATTGTTGCTTGTTTTCACGTACACATGCGCAGTAGACTAATGCCATTTTATATATGCAAGGCTCTCATCTTAAAAGATGAGATGATATTTCAACTACAATAAAGTAAGTCTGTGGTTTTATTATCAGTTCCCCTCAAGATCGCTCGTACATCTAATTAGGAGCCTCTGGTTATCTCTTGGATGATTTATCCATCGTAAATTTCTATATCAATTTGGTGCAGAGAAACCCAGGAGTCAACCTATGAATATCCCAGATCACACATGGAGGGATCCTTTGAAGTGACAACGAACCCAAGCAGCTGCACAGTAGGAAATGTATTTCTACAACTTTTTTTCGCTCTCACCTCCAGTGGCTTCTCCAGATCTGGGAGAGTGTCTGTTTAAAATTGGCTAACTCGCAAGAACCTGTTTTAAATGATATAACCAGATGGTGTTGCTTTGCTTTGCTTAAAAATTGCCATGAATTGTGCACCGGAATTGTAGACTGTAGAGCTCATCTGTGTCTGTCAGGTTGCAATAATTGTTGGATAATTGTTGGCCTGGTGATTTGTTGTATGATTAAAATACGTATCCTCCCCACCAAATCTCCTGATTTGTGTTTAGAGTAAGCTGTATAGCTGAGTCTGTGTTAAATTCTTCTGCAAGGGTGTGCCGTGTGTGTTTACATACTGTTAAGTGTTTTTACTACACGTGTTAGTGTTTCTGTTGTTTATACAAACAGTTGTTTATACAAACAGACTGTTTGCCTAAACTTGATGGCCTAGCTAACCCTGGTATAATAATGGGGAACTCTCATAGTCTCCCTGGGGAGGATTTGACGGCTATAGAAGTCATTAAAAATCACAAAGGCAACGCAAGTGCTGTCATGGGCATTACATCTATGCTAAAGAAAGCAGGAATAACTCCAGAAGGGAGCTTAGCTCCACAAGTATGGAAATAATTCATGGCTTAATATAAAGGATGGCTTGAAGATAAACAGAGAAAGCTCAAAAATGGCATGATACTGCAGTCAAATTGGCACAGTGTGGCTGTAGAGAAACTACTAGAAGGGGGATACCCTATTATCAATATTGTGGGTTGCTGCATGATGACTTCCCTAAGAAAACGCAGCCCCCGATAAGGCACACAGTACAGATGGTAATACAAAAACCACACAGGTGTCCACAGTAAACCCAGTCACCCGACACTCTCATTGAATTTGCCCCACCTGCCAGTGGACTAATCCTTGGTGGGAAGAGAACTGGTCAAGGAATAAGGCAAATAGGATGGTGGATAATGGGCACCCCTGTTGAATACTGTACTGTTCACCTAGACCCTTGCACTCAGTTCCATGTACAAAGAGCAGATCCACAATGGTATCTTGTCTCCAAAGCCCATATATTGGAACGTCCCTATTGTGAAAGGCCAGTCCACACAGCAAAATGCCTTATCAGCATCAGTGTAACCCCTTAAGGACCAAACTTCTGGAATAAAAGGGAATCATGACATGTCACACATGTCATGTGTCCTTAAGGGGTTAAAGGAAAAGCATAGATCATCTATCTTTTAGGCAATGTTAACGGGTGTTAACCTGTGTTAGAACAAAACTTAGATCTCTTGAATAATTAACCACTTATTTGCCATGGACTTCTATGTAATTTTATTAATCTTTGGTTTGTCCTGCGATTTCTTTCCAGTGCTGGGGAGGTAAAAATTAACTGAAACAGACACAAATTGTTCAAAGTGACTTCTCAAAAATATTTTATTACATATCACAAATATATAATGTTTTTTTAACAGGGCGCGCTTTTTTTCTTTATCCAATCATCAAATGGATCATCCAGTCGTGCGAGCCAGGCGTAGAGCATGAACTACCCCCAAGATGTTGCCCTTGGCTTTAGTTATGAGATAAATCAACATTGATTGGATGGACTGAACCTAGAAAGCAAGGCTGGATGCACTTGGAAAGCATATTAGCAAATAATTCAAGATTTATGTTTACAAGGGAAATTAGTCTAGAACTGGCAAAATGTCCAGGATCTTTAACTTCTTTAGGAATCAAGGTGATATGAACGGCAAGTAATTCCAGGTAAATGGCAGTTTAATGCAATAAAATCCAAATTTCCCTGCACTAAAATCTGAATGTCCTTGCATTCAGATTGCAAAATCCAGATATTAGATGTGGATTGTAGCATAAGGAAGAAAATAAACCTCCATGTAGCTAGACAGGGGACATATTTTACTTTTTACAGTTTCAAGTGGTGGCCAGCCATC